CCCCAAAACCCCAAAACCCCAAAACCCCAAAACCCCAAGATACTTCTAAAAAAAATTTACAAATTTAGCAGGTAGATATAAAAAAGTGATACTTTAATAGGATCCAAGTTGTCATAATAAATTAATAGGGGGTCGTATCTGTTAAGTTGAGATACTTTGTAAAATTGTAGGAATCACTCTTTTTTAGAAAAATGGATGCTTTAAGCAAAATAAATTTAATATCATAATTTTAATATAATCAAATAGCAAGTTACTAGTGGTTATCATTTCTTAGGAGGAGTTCTTATTCCTAATGGGATAATAGTTCTTCCGTAAGTTTCATTCAGGATTTCTCCGAAAGCTGTGTAGATTGCTGAGAGTCCACAGATGACTCCCTCAATGCCAGCAGCCTTTAGGACATCAGGTTTCAAAGTCCAATTGTACGATGCCAATAAGAAGAACAGTAGTACAACTGTGAAAAAGACGAATACCAAAGCCCATGGTTTACTCTTCAAGGTTCCAACGAACATACAGGTTGAGAAGCAGCCCCAAATAAACAAGTACCAAGCCATAGCTGTGGGATTTGTAGCTTTACCGATGCCAAGGTCTGGAAGTATTAAAAGAGTGCAGAGTGAAATCCAAAAAAGTCCATAAGACATAAATGCTATCATTCCGAACATTTAGCCTTTTTTCCACTCAAAAATACCGGCGATTAGTTAAGCAAGCCCTCCGTAGAAAAGTCCCATTGCAAGTATCATTGTGTTTAATGGATACACACCGGCATTGTGCATATTTAAAAGGAAAGTGGTCAGACCAAAGCCAAGTAATCCAAGTGCTGCTGGATTTGCAGTTTTATCTTGAGAATCAACGATAAGTTTCAATTATTTCAGTGATTCTGTATCCATGAAGTAAAATGCAGGTCTAGGCCCTGAATTTAGTGGAGTATCCAGACTGTCTCTAGAATTATATTTTCCATCTGCTCCATACTCGTCTTTACCATTTAATTTTTTCATCTCGTGATTGATATCACTGATAGCTCTGGTTCTTTTGGAATCATCGCTCCCAATTCCTCTTCTATCTTGAAGTTCAATATCAGTTTTATGTTGATCGTTGTGAGATGCGCTCATATGGTCTATAGTATCTATACAAATTTAAGAAAGAATTACGTAATTAAATATTTCCTGAGTTATATGTATCGTATCCTCTCAAGAAGTTTAAGGCACATAAGAGGAATCCAATTATATAACAGTCCTAATACACCTAAGCAGGCTGAATTACTTCAAATCTAAGCTCATGGGGTTTTGGGGTTTTGGGG